ATATTTTTCAAAATATTCCCGGGGGAGGGGGGCAAGAAGGTATACATGTATATAGTTTAGGGGTTAAATTCTGAAATGGTAGAGAATCTTTTTTCTGAAGGTATTGACACAAAAAGTATGAAATTTTATAGAAAACTTGTAGCATTGTGCAAGTACAGAGTTAGTAGTTTCAGCAAAATTCATGCATTGGCAATTTTGCCTACTTTGAGTCCTATTTTAAGCCAATTATATTACTTCATTCAACCAAATTCTTAGCTAGTATGCCTTCCGTTCTGTTGACTGAGTACAAGAAATCGCCCAGTTAGCCATTACAATTACCCTATAAAATGTAAAGAAGTTGATAATTAAACAGATATTACTTAATTAGTTGTTTTCTGCATACCAGTCAATACATAGTGTTTTCATATCCTTTGCATCATCAGGGCTAAAATGTAAGGATACTGAAAATGAGGTTTATATACAAATTGAGAGGGGACTCCAAAATTTATATCTCCATTACTTCTGTTTCCATAATATTTATAATAAGGAACACTAAATATGTGAATACAGTACCTTGTGTGTATTGTATGTACTGTGCATGAATTCAGGTAAAAAATGGGGGTTCATCTTGGTACTTCTACTTACATTTAGGTCACACTACACATGCATGTACAAGCATATATATACACACACCCTTCTGGGTTTTCTTCTATTTTTCTTACTTGTTAATTTCCACATAACTCCATGGGGAAGTGGAACAGAATTCTTCCTCCTTAAGCCACGCGTGTCAGAAGAGGCGACTAAAATGCCAGGAGCAAGGGGCTGGTAACCCCTTCTCCTGTATATATTACTAAATGTAAAAGAAGAAACTATAATTTTTACCTTTGGGCCACCCCACCTTGGTGGGATACGTGGGGTGCATTGAAAGAAGAAATGAAGGTTCTATACCTGTTCATGAGAGCAATTCTCATCAGTGTTTATATATATCCTCTGCTTCTCTTCCTTTGCATAATCAAGGTTAAAAAATTAAAGAAACCTGGATATAATGTGTATACAGTATGTACATCACATATATTTGTGCATCAGTTTAGTTTGTACACTCGTATTTTGTTATAAATAGACAAAGACGTGTGGGGGATGGTTGTTGTTGTTGTTAAGGGCCTCTGTCTTGTGCCTCCCACTACCCTCTTTCCTCACTACTATTTTATCACTGAAAATGCAAGAAAAGTTGAAAGTGAACATAAATGAGAGTAAGATGATGAGGGTATCAAACATGTTTGATAATGAAAAATTGGGTATCAGATTAGAGGGAGGAAGTGAATGTGTTCAGATATTTGGGAGTGGGTGTGTTAGTGGAATGGTATATGAAAGATGAAGTGAACCATAAAATTGATGAAGGGAAAAAGATGGATGGTACATTGAGGTACAGTAGACTGTCATTTAACACGGTAGTTGCTTTCCTGAAAATGACATGTTAGGTAAAACCATATTAGATGAACTGAAGAACTCATGGGAAAAATAGGGTTACGTTCCTGAGAGCCCCAAAAAAGCCAAATAATTTTTTTTAGGCCTCCACATCTTACAAAAATAAAAGTCAATATGTACTTGTAGTTCATTGTTGTGATGTATTTTGTTATTTTTACTGCTTAAGACTACAAATGTAACAGAAATAATAGTATTTCTTACCTTAAATTGTAGGTGCTGGTGTTTGTGGTTGATTGTGAAGAGAGTGGAGAGTTATGCTGTGGCCCTACTGGGCTGAGGTGGATGGTAGAGGTTCTGGTACTGAAGTCGATGGTTGTACTAGAGTGTCTAACTTTAAGTCATTCATTCAGTCAATCAAGTCAATAGGTCAAGTAAGTTATTCAGTCAAGTCAGTAAGTCACTCAGTCAAGTCAGTAGGTCATTCAGTAAGTCAGTCAGTCACACAAACTTACGTTTACCTCTTTTTATGTGTACAGAGTAACCTTCATTACGGCTACAGGTTGTCTCCTGTCTAATATTTCTGTTTTCTTTGTTAATTCTAAGTCTTAAATGCTTATACCTTTTCTTGCCATTTTTAGCAACACTGGTATGCCTACTGGGTGTCATGATTGCATGGCAGATACAAGTTATAGTAATTAAAAGATCAAAACACAATTCACAAACACAACTAGCTTGTAGCAGAGAAGAAGGACTGGACACGTATGAAGTACGAATGGTGGGGTGGTGTCAGGGGGTGGCAGGGGAAGGTGGGAGGTCTCTCCTGCTGATCCAGAACAAGGCAGCCACTTGAGGAAAAGGGATTTTTTTTTTCCTTTCTGCAAACTGAACCGTGTTAAATTAATTTTACAACTGTTACATAAAATTGTGCTATACCCAAATCGTGCCAAATAAACTCGTGCTAAATGACGGTGTACTGTATCTGTCATGACAAAGAATGTTATCCATGGAGGTAAAGAGGGGTAATGTATGAGTGTGTAGTGGTAACAATGCTCTTATATGAGTGTGAGACATTGGTTGTGAATGTTACAGCGAGGAGGAGGTTAGAGGCAGTGGATATGTCATGTCTGAGGGCAATGTGAGGTGTGAATATATGCAGAGAATTTGTAGTTTGGAGAGTAGGATTAGGTGTAGAGTCACTAAAATTATTATCCAGAGGGCCAAGGAAGGGTTGGTGAAGTTGTTTAGTCATTTAGAGAGGATGGAGCAAAATAGGATAATTTGGAGGGTGTATAACTGTAGTGGAGGGAAGGCGGGGTAGGGGTCATCTTAGGAAAGGATGGAGGCAGGGGTTAATTGTTTTGTTTTTGACATACAGGTGACATGTATGAATATGTTAGATAGGAATGAATGGCGATAAATGACTTTTGGAACCCAACAAGCTGTTGGAGTGTGAGCAAGGTATTATCTTAGGAAGGGATTCAAGGAAATCAGTTAATCAGACTTGAGTCCTGGAGGTGGGAAGTACAGTGCCTGCACTCTAAGGGAGGGGTTGGGATATATGCTGTTTGGAGAGAGATCTGTACTGTCGTATCTGTGCGCCTCTGGCAAGATAGTGATTGCATGAATGATGGTGAAAGTGTCTGTTTTTGGGTCACCCTGCCTCGTTGGAAGTGTGCCTGTGTCTGAAAAAAAATAGAAAAAAAGCATTCTGATTGTTACTTCCACAGCAGTAAGATACACAATGCCCTTGGGCCATCACAGTTTTAAATCCAACAACAGCAACAATAACAGCAGTACTTGCTGATAATTTGAAATGGTTTTCTTGTGATTTTATTATATTTCCCATTGTTTGCCATACCTTGCATTCATATTTTTACTCTGGGCATAATTATTAAAAAATCTTGTCTTATGGCTGGTAATATATAGTATTTTTACTGATGTTTGCAGATGATTGTGGTTGTGGTGGAGGCAAGTGATAGTGGCGGCAGGTGGAACTGCCTGTTATGTTTGAGCTGGTCTTATGCATGGTCACATTAACTGTTCCCACACATTTCTATATCAACAAGCAATGACAACAATTATGTAATGAATAGAGAACTTGATAATTTTTGAGTTTTGACGAGTTACAAAGCTTTAAAAAAATTTGGTTGGCTTTTTTTGGGGGGAGGGGGTTCTAATGAACATAACCCCCCTTTTTTTTTTCATATGTTCTGCAGTTCATTTTAGGTGATTTTTTGATTAGATGCTGTTTTCAGGAACATAACTGCCATCTTGATTACGGTCAACTACATGTGTAATGTTTTATTTATTTATTTTTTTTTTTTTAAGAATATTCCTGGGCAAGCACTGAGACTTGTTGGCCTCTACTAGTTACATCACTTCATCCACGATATTTTTCTCCTTGCTACTGTTTGCATTTTTTCAAACTGAGAATCTCGTATGCATTGCAGATTTTACCCTTTATTCATCCTATATACTATATTGTAGTTGTTAAAATAATCGTACATAAGGAAACCTTAGATTTATATACAAGTCAGTGTAGTCTGCCCATCTGTTTCATTCTTGTAGAATTAATTTTGCTTTATCCTAATAGCTCAGTAGATTGTATAAAAAGATTCTCTATTATTTTGTCTGAGTAGCTTAGTAAACTGGATATACAGAATGTTGCTTTATCCTACCTCAGGATTTCTTTTGCTCTACCTATTCAGTGAATATATAGGATTTCTGTTAATTATCCTTGTAGTTAGGTATACTGGGTATACAGGATTTTGCTGCTCTGAAATAAAATTGTTTATCAGCATATTCTTTGCTCTCCAGATGTTTTATCCACTTAAAAGTTTTTCCAATAGTATTAGACAACAGAACTTGTTAGATATGCAGGCCTGTGGTTGAGAAGGTCTTTCCTATCAACTTTTTTTTTAAAATACTTACATAATATTTGCCATTTTTCCTTATGTTAACCAATTTGTCTTCTTTCGTGTGTGTTTTTGTGTGTGCGCGCTTATGTCATGAGTGTACTAGGCTCTGCCTCTTAACTTGACATTCTTCAGATTCACATTCTCATAGCCTTGTGGGCCTCCATCACTTTCTCACCAAGATTATTCCACTTCCCGACCATTTAGAGACTGAAGAAATACTTTCTAACATCCTTGTGGCTCATCTGTGCTTTTAACTCAGTTGAAATGTGTTTCCAAGTTCCCATTTCTCTCCTTTCAAGTAATCTATCCCTGTTTACCTTATCTTTCCTTGAGTATTTTGTATTTTATCATGTGTCCACTGGTTCTTCTGGCCTTCAGTATCGTTAGGTGTGTGTGCTCATGTGCGCGCGTGTTTTGCATGTGATGTAACTGAATTGATGAAACTAAATAAGCATGCTTGTTTAAATGCATATAAACAGTTAAGTGATCAGTAGTTAATTTCTTATTCCTATAAATATTTTTTCTATTAGGCAGATATATTAATTTTTAATGTATGAACTCTTGGTAATCCTGGTCCTGTGTATTCAATCCATTCTGCAGTCTAGCATAATTGTATGGTGGTTGCATGAATTAAAGTATAACTACTGCTGCATGGTGGATGTTTTGTTATGTTTCTAGCTCTCTGAGTGCCACCCGAGAGAGACTCAAGGCGCGGTCATGCCCGGCTCTTAGTCAGTTGAAGGAGGAGGAAGGGAGGGACGGAGGAGGTGGGGTGCGGGTTTGCTCCCAACCCCTATCCCACTCTGGGGGCATTACCTCCTCCGGTGCCTTGTCCTCATTCTCTCCTTTTGCAACTTCTCAGCGCCTTTCATCCTCAGACATTAATCTGCCCTTGATAAAATCACATCCTGATCCACCTCTCTCCTCACTGCTACTCTCCATACCGAATAACCAGTCAGTAATTACAACTCCAACGTTAGTTACTCCAGTCACAACTCTTGCATCTTGTAATGTTTCATCCTCTAGTATATCTGCAGTCACCCCCACCTTTCCTATATCTACTCATTCTGCATCTTCATCTACTGAGGCAAGTAATTTATTAACCTCACTTGCAACAGCAACCACCACTGCCATAGCAATACCAACATTAACATCTGAGACTCAAACTACAACCATAAGTTTTCCATCACATAAACCTGTAGGGCGCTCTTTCTCTTCTCCTGTTTCATCCTCTGTACCTATTCTTTCTTGTAGCTCTTTACATGCTTCAGTACCTCTTTCCGAACCTCCCTCCTCCTCCTTCACCGTCACCACCACCACTACCACCACCACTACCACCACAACTGCTGCCCTGGCCTCTCTCTCTACTAACCAAACTACTAACAACAAGGACCCCCGACTGCTGGCACGGTCCGCATCCCTCAGAGAACGCATTCAGAGGTATGGTCTGCATTCTTGCTTAACAATGTGTTTATTTGCTTTTAGGCTTTAAAAAAGAAGTCTTTGTAATTACTTGGTATGGTTAAAAATTCATTCTTCCTATGTGGATAGTTCCCTGTTTGATAATGATAAATCTAGGAAATGATTTGGTAATGGGTGAAATGATCTTTTATTATAAATACAAGGCATTGCACAGCAAAAAAGAATTAGTGCCATATTAAAGTTATGGAGAAGAATGCAGGCATAAAGGAGATATGTCTCATAACAATAAAAATGCTTTCAAATGAGCTGATGTAGGTAACAGCTCTTAGCTTGCCAATAAAGTTAGGAATCCTTAACCTGTAAATAGCTTGTCAATAAAGCTAGGGATCCTTAACCTTGTCAAACCCTGTGTAAAAAAAAAAAAAAGCAGTTATAAAGCTTAAATTACCGAACTTTATTATGGGGCTCTGAGCCTAACTTGCAGATGCAAAAGATAATATCTGTACATTCCTACAACAGGCGACACATTAAGAAATTGATTTGTTCACTAACCTGGGTGTTGGTCATTGTGGCACTTAATTTTTTTCCTACAGTGCAATACCTCATGTACAATACGTATATATTATCTGATATTAGTGACGATTCAGATAACTATGTTTATCGGAATGTCTATTTCTTCTGATCACTACTAAAACTTTTAAGCATTCCTTATCATTTCTTCTTCAAAAATAATTGCTTAGGGGTCAGCCAGATGTATTTTGTTATGCATTGGAAATTATTGTATTTAATAATATTTATTCCAACTACAGTGGACCCCCGCTTAACGATCACCTCCCAATGCGACCAATTATGTAAGTGTGTTTATGTAAGTGCGTTTGTACGTGTATGTTTGGGGGTCTGAAATGGACTAATCTACTTCACAATATTCCTTATGGGAACAAATTCGGTCAGTACTGGCACCTGAACATACTTCTGGAATGAAAAAAATATAGTTAACCGGGGGTCCACTGTACTTTAATATATTTTAATTACGAAGCACATATGTGAAATATCTGATAAGGCTTTGCTAGTATGTATGAATTTTACCTTAAATTTCTACTGCTTTTGCTACCTTTTAGATTTGCTCTCACAATCACTAATGCTGAGATACCTTTTTGACTTCAATACAGTTTCTGTATAGGCTTTGCTGACCATGTTAAGGTGCTAAAAACACTATATATGATTGTTTCCTGTAAAGATATAATAATTTACCACTTGATTGACTGTTGATTATACTGATTACGTACACATCTTTTCCTTAAAAAAATTAATAGATTTTATATTATTAAATGGAAATAAGCTTTGGTGATCAGCCAGTTACTGCATGAATTTTGGCAGTTCATCAATATTATAAACATGCAGATATGCTACAGATTGTTTGTTGTGATTTGACACAGTCAGGATGATGCATGCTTTTGTGGATGGGAAAAATAGCAAGACATTTTGAATGCATCATTGTCTTCTTAAAGGGTATATCTAAAACTATATTAGTTTTCTAGGTTATGGAAGAGGATTGTTATAAAATTTCCTAGTGTATAGGGGTCTTTCAGCATAGCTTGAATTTAAAATTTATTTAGATTCATGTGATTGTTTTGGAGTTATTGTATATTTTGTTTACAATTATTTTTTATCATGTAAGCATTTAAGCATGAAATGAACATACAACCCCTACAGTTAAGTCGTTAATATTATCTAATAAAGATAATTACCCTAGGGCTAATAGTAATTGCAAAAAAATAAATTGTGTATACAGGTCTGCCATCACAAATCCGGCAATCAGTTATTCGGCACTAATTTTGGCTAGCGTAATTTCAAATTTCCAGGGTCGCCACACCAACCTGCTGGTACTGTTTGGTGGCACTACTTGCTGCATAAGTCATTCCAATTTCTTTTTCTCCATTTATTGTTTTAACCTACTTACTTTTAGCCCTAGCCATGGTTCCAATGAATAAAAGAAATGCTTCTCATTATGTAAAGCACCTACACAGTACATTATCCATTAAAGATAAGGTGGCTTTGAAGCCACTGTCGGTTGCCATGAGATCAGTCTCATGAAGCAGGAGAATATGCTTTATTATTACGCTAATATCAACACTACAGCTTATTTGCCTATCACAGTTGATCTAATATGACATAAGAAACAATATAAATAACATAAAACTTGTTAAATACTCCAGAATGAATAATATTTGGCATAACACCTAGCAGTTCGACAGAGTTATGAAGAGGATATGGTAAACAAATACCATTATCCTATCCTTGTCTTGGTGGCTTATATTAGAGAAAACGGAGTATAGCACAGGGCTAACTATGATATACACTCGTACTCCACCATAAACATGAAACAAAAAAGTTATTTTCTCTCTATAGATTATCACACATAGCAGCATATGTGTAGAGAACCTAGGATAACCCAAAAAAGTCAACGTGGCTTATTTTTAGTACCTGGCTTAGATTAGCCATGTATGATTTTTGGTAAATATTCGATTCCCAGCCAGGGTAGAAACATTAGGCATGTTTATTTACACCTGTTGTCTATGTTTACCCATCAGTAAATGGGTACTTGGGTGTTAGTCTACTAGTGTGGGTGTTATCCTGGGACACTGACCTAATTTTCTTGAAATACTCAGCATGATAAGTGCCTTTCTATACAGTAGTATGTCACTCATTTTGTGGATAGTGACCCTCGTATTGTAGACAGTCTTAATGACCCTCATGTAGTAGATAGTCTTTTTAGTATGATAATAAGATGTTATCTTCATTATAGAATAATAAAAAAATATTATAACATTTCTTTCTTTCTTTCAACACACCGGCCGTATCCCACCGAGGCGGGGTGGCCCAAAAGGAAAAACGAAAGTTTCTCCTTTTACATTTAGTAATATATACAGGAGAAGGGGTTACTAGCTCCTTGCTCCCGGCATTTTAGTCGCCTCTTACAACACGCATGGCTTACGGAGGAAGAATTCTGTTCCACTTCCCCATGGAGGTAAGAGGAAATAAACAAGAACAAGAACTAGAAAGAAAATAGAAGAAAACCCAAAGGGGTGTATATATATATGCTTGTACATGTATGTGTAGTGTGACCTAAGTGTAAGTAGAAGTAGCAAGACATACCTGAAATCTTGCATGTGTATGAGACAGATTAAAAAAGACACCAGCAATCTTACCATCGTGTAAAACAATTACAGGCTTCAGTTTTACACTCACTTGGCAGGACGGTAGTACCTCCCTGGGCGGTTGCTGTCTACCAACCTACTACCTAGAATTATAACATTTATATTATAATAATAAGGTAAAAGGACCCCAATGGAAATAAGTCACTCTGTCTGACTTTTTTGGGTTATCCTAGGTTCTCTACACACATGCTGCTATGTATGATAATTCTATGTAATTGTATTTGTGTATACCTGAATAAACTTACTTACTGATGTCAGCTAGGCCTGTATACCCTGTACATGTACGTGTAATAAATAAAATTATTATTATTATTATTATTATTATTATTATTATTATATTATTATTATTTTCTCAGTTGTTTGTTGGGTTATCTTATTCAAACTTAGGCAATGTATGATGGAAAGATACTTCTTAATATACACCAAAATTGAAAGAAATCAGACCATAAATAGCGGAGTTCACTTCTCAGCCATTAGTGGCCGCTTAGCGGTATATTTTTGTATGGTTGTTATGCTTATATTCTCATTTTTTCTGGCTCATTTGATAGAATGAAAGATATATTACAGAAATAGATATGATTTTGATTGCTTTCATGACGAAGAGTACCTTGAAATTGTGCTCACAGTAGCGAAAATGTTCTATTTTTTAGCGAAGCTCAAGAGTAAACATATGACGTCACTGTCCAATACCTGTCTGCCTGCCAGTCCAAATTCCAATACGGAGTCAAGAATGGATTGACATTATTTATACAATTATCGCAATAATGCAGTAGTCTGCATAACAGTAAATTTTTTTTTTTTTTTTTTTTTTTTTTTTGTGAATAAAAATTCCAAGTGGTAAGCAAGAGTAATATAAGAGGGGCCTGTAGCCGTGACTAATGAACAGAGAAAATGTTATTTTAGTGCCAGGAATGTCTACATTGTTTATTCTGGATCCTATTTTGAAATTGGCATCTGTTGAAATTTATGTGAAATCGGCCAAATTGCCAATTTCTGACCACTTTATTGGTTAGTTGAAATCAGTAAATGGATGGTTTCTTGTGCTCATTTGATAGACAAAATGGAGTTTTAGCGAAATAGGTATGATTTTAGTTGACTGGTACATTGGAATTGACTGATAATAGGACTTAAAGTGGGCGAAATCACCGATGTGTAAACATCGTCGAGACTGCTGAATTCGCGAGAGCATAATTCCATAAGTTTTCCATCAAATTTCATACTTTTGGCATCATTATGATCGGGAAAAGATTCTCTATTATTTCATAAGGAAAAAATAATAATTTTTTTTTTTTTTTTCGAAAACTTTCCGACCCTGAGAAAAAGTTTAGGAGGGTGCCTGCCGACCCTGAAAGGGTTAAATAGGAGTGGAGATGAAAGGTTTCTGGGACTTGATGAGCTGTTGGAATGTGAGCCGGATAATATTTTGTGAAGGGATTCAGGGAAACTGGTTAGCCAGAGGTGGGAAGTACAATGCCTGCATATAAAGGAGGGGCTGGGGTATTTGCTGTTTAGAGTGACATCTAAACTCTTGTATTTGCATGTCTCTGGCAAGATGGTGATAGTGTGCAGGACGGTAAAAGCGTTTGTTTTTCAGATCACCCTGCCTGAGTAGGAGATGACTAGTGTGTTAAAAACAAAAATTGGCTCTGCTTAGTGTTATAGGTCTGCCATCACAAATCCGGCAGTCAGACATCCGGTTCCATCAGTTATTCAGCACTAATTTCGGTTAGCATAATTTAAAATTTCCAGGGTTGCCACACCGACCTGCTGGTACTGTTTGGTGGCACTACTCGCTGCACG